TGCCACGTCAGCATTTAATAGTTAAATTGACAGAAAAATTAACGGAGGTCTAACATTGTAACAAATTCATAAGTTGAGGTATGACATTGCAATGTTTAAAACATGAGGTATGAGATTATAATTCAAACTATAGTTGAGGTAATTTTGTGTAATTTACCCAATATGTGGCAATTGGATCTTTGTGATCATTTGAAAAAGACAATGAAAAGGCAATGGTGAGTCACAATCCGAAGAGAATGATGGAATGATAAAGATGGTAATTAGATTGATGGATTGATCCAACATTCGGAGGAAAGGCATGTGTTGACACGGCTAGTACCTTTACATTTAATCATATGATTTCAAGGAAAGCTAATGAAAATGGTTCAAAATTTTGAATCTTAACAAAAAAAACCATCTAATAATTTTCTTTAATAGTTAGGACAAACCCAACTGTAAAGACGAAAATCCTGTAGCAAATAACAAGAGAGCACACGTACAAAGAAATATTTGTATTAATGTAAATTTAGGGTTATAATCTCTTTACAACTTGATCCTCTTATTCGAACTTCAAAATGTAAGGTGTGTAGTGTTGTTGATTTAATGTCCCAATGACTTGATCTTGGATGAACTGATGCCGCAAGGTTTTGGATCTTGGCAATGGAGGAATCGACACGTGTAGGGGTGTTTGGTGGTTCTTCAAATATTTGGTGAAGAACACAGAGAGCTTTTTGAATTCTTCTGATTGTTTGAGGATTTGGGTGCTTGAGCTTTGGCAGCGTCTGGGCAGGAATGATTTTTTGGATCCTTTCTTTTGCCTTGGGTCCTTGTATTTATAGACTTTCCGAGCTTTACCTACAGATGGACTTGTAGTTGATTTGTGGCTTGGTTCGTGATTTATTTCCATCAATCAATCAATAAATCAATTATTTAATTTAAATAAAATCAAATAATCAATCTTGCCCAATTTGGCATTTCTATTTGCTTTAATTTAAATTAATTATTTTGTTTAATCTAAATTAAATCAAATATTAATTTCCACCAATTTTTGACATATATCCTTGATGACTTATCTGGTTTTGTTGAGTCACACACCATGTGTACAATTTGTGTGACACGTGGCTCATGCCCTGGCATGTCAAAGTTTAATGCGTTGGTGAACATTTATTTCATCAAAATTTCAATGTCTACAAATGCCCCCACTTCAAGGCACGTTGTATGCATGTATTTGTCACGTGTAGAAGATGTGTTTTGAAGTCCCTTGCATAGTGAATGTATTTGACCATTATGCTTTGAACACTACAAAAAAGATGGTCATTTGCGACCAACTTTTGCCGAGGGCCAACAAATACCCTTGGTAAAAAAACGCTATTTCCAACCAAAAATTATGCTCCATCGAAAATATGTTGACAAGAGGTTTACTATTTTCAACACCCAAAATTCCCTCGGAAAAGGGTTACATCGCCGTCGAAAATAGCTTTTTTTTTTAGGGAAATTTTGGCGCCACATTTATTTACGACGAAACTTGTATCTATCGGTAATAGTTATATTTTTTCGAGGGCACGTTTAAATTGTCAGAAGTAATTGTTTATTTCCGAGAGCAATAAGTGGTTGTCGGTAGTAATTTCTCTATTTTCGAGGGTGATTAGTTGTTGTTGGAAGTGATTGTGTATTTGCTAGAGGAACTAGGGGTCGTAAAAAATAACTACGTATTTTAAATTGATTAAGTATCCACTAGTGTAAATGTTTCAAATTGAATATCGAATTAGTTCATTGTATTCTTATAGGGCCAAGGAGTGTAGTTCTAAAAAACATCAAAATTGGAGCTAAAATAACTGTTAAATCCAGAATTTTCATTTATAACTGTCGAAAAATTTCGTCTATTACCTAATCTTTGAATGTTTTCTTTTTTTGCGATTTTATTATGAATGCGATTTCGGAGTATATACAAGCAAGTTTGATGGTTGGATCATTGAAACTAGTTTCTTAGAATGCACATTAAAAATACCAAAGCAATTTAAAATACCAAAACATACTAAAAAAATCATAATAATTAATTTACAAGTGTGAAAAATGTGAAAAAATATGTATAACGCTCATGATCGCATCCTCTTTGCTTTAATGATGGGTACATTATCGTTTGAACTTTTAAAACCCTACAAACCATCATGAATAATGTTTTTAGGGGAGTTCAAAATAAATAAAAATTCATAATAATTAATGTACAATTGTGAAAAATGTGAAAGGATATATAAACGCTCGTGATTGCAGCATCTATGCTTAGACGATCGTTACATTGTCATTTGGATTTTTTAAACCCTCGAAACCCTCATGAATAGTGAATTTTATTTGAGTGCAAACTTAATAAATTGATGTAGAAGTGCAAAAAATGTAAATATATATATAATTACTCGTAATGGCAAGCTTTACAGCTTTTGTGAAGGGGGCAAATCCAAAATTCGAAACTGTAATTCATAAATCCTAGATTCATATTCAACCATTGATTGTTGTTTATGCTCTATTCTTCTCACCCAATTTCATTTTTTAGACTTCTTTTTTGAAAACACAATCTTTTGGCGGATGCAAACAAATGAACGGTTCAGATCATTGATATTACATTCTGATTTTTACGGTTAATCGAAATATGAGTTGATATTATATAGTTTCTAAAGACTTTATAAACTCTAAGCAATATTTTCATTAACTGTAAAAATTTGAACATAATATCAATAATTTGAATCGTTCATCTTTCTGAATCTTTGACAGATGTGATTTATTAAACAGAACTATGTTGGATTCTTGCACCACACGTTACTTGCAACTTCTTATTTCAAAGGTGGATGGGTTAAATTCATAAAAAGGTTCTTTTCTATGCCTTTTGATCAAGTACTTTTGATTTGCATTATATGCCAATAATCATGCTCAAGTTCATTAAAAATAACTGTTTATAAGGATTACTTGCGTAGGAAGGAAAAAACAAAGTAATTAGTGCAAAGAGATAAATGATAACTTAGAAAGATAGACTATTAGAAACCATTGAAAACCAACTTAAATAACAAGGCAAAGTGTTAAGAAAACAGTATTTAGTACGACAAAAAACAAATATTGAAGTTCGGGCAAAGTTTCAACCTTGTCGGACAAAACCTGTGGCGTGTCATGCACCTTTCTTAAAGGCAACAAAGTATGAATTGGCTTACAAAATGATAAATACTATGTGAATACAACTTGAAATCAATAATACAACAAAGAGTGTAGCAAAGCTATTAGCTATGAAGGGATGACTTGACTACTAAAGGAATATAGAGAAAGTGATAGAGCTTTTAAGAGTGTTTGCTGAGAGTTCTTTTGTTGAGTTGAGTGTCATTTCCTACTAATTCCCCAATTGCTTTTATAAAGTTCTTTTTCACTTAGATTACCCTCCCTTTTTTGGCTTAATCTCATTCTCTGTCAAGTGGTTGATGTGACTGTCTTCGGCAAGGGGTGAGTTCACACTTTATCTTCTTTTATTTACAAGTTTTGCCATTGAAAACCACATTTTCTTGCAAAACCTTCTCTGCAAAATTCCCCCAAGCATGATCATTGTAGGTTTGCCGCCTAGTCGCTGCTACATCATACTGTTTAAATAATGCTTTTGCCAAAATCAAATACCGATGGCTCCAATAGCTTTGAATGTCTGGGCCTTAATTATTCCTGCCCAAATAGGACTTATGAGAAAAACGAGAAGAGAAAAAAGGTGTTTCGAACCAAATGAGAGAGATTGAAGGAGAGAGTTTGTCTTGGCTGAAGGAAACAAAATCAGAAATTTCAGACCCACTTGGCTAGCATTATTGTAAATATGGTAATATCGAAGGGCCATTTCATGACTGTAGCTAAGCTACAACCAAGCTAAGCTACAGCCAATTCTCCTTCAACTTGGGAATAGATAAATTCCTATTTCGGTTTTCTCCGACATCTCGGGACCGAAACTAAAAAGAACAAAAGGCAAAAAGAATTTTACCGTTAGCAATTAATTTTGTACACAATTAGCTTTACATTAATCCTCTAGGCTCTTGCTGATAGATCATGGAATATTTGTTGTGTACTAGTTAGTGTTGAGTAATAGAGGTAGAGGAGGTTGAGGAAGACTGGAATATAATGCAAAGAATTTCGATCACATGCGATATGTGTGGAACATCTCCCATGCAAAATGCATATATTTTATCCAACACACCAAACATGTTCAACGACGCATGTTACTAAAGTTCTTTGTATCAGTATATTTATCAATCTTATTGGATGCCCAGTCAAAGGAATAGGACCAGTATTCGCCCAGTGTCACTTTATTACGAGTCGTATTTATATTTTAGTTTTCCAAGATAGCGTCGTATAATTATTTTGTGACGCTTATATTGCCGTTATATCATTTACGTTTTGTTCTATTTGAATATGATGCATATAATTACATTTAGGTTACGTGTTTTAATGTTTTCAAGTGGCATTATGTTGTTAGTCTTGATGATGCAGCAGCTTGCAACATTGTTTATATTTAATAAAAACTTAGAACTTAAAACGAAATAAATCAAACCAACCCTATTATAATAATATTAATCTAATCATTCGTTAACTCTCTTTTGGAAGTGCTTTGCAAATGACTGAAATTGCTTTTAGAAAAAAATGTTTTTAAGTTCGAAAAGTACTTAAAGTGCTTCTTACAAGAAGCACCAATTATATGCTTCATGTACTTCAATTGTTTTCCGAGATACATTTGCCTATTTACTAAGGATTGGTTCCAAAAATATTTTTAAAAAAGTGTTGTCGCAAGCCTATTTACTAGAAATTTGGAATGATGTAATGGCAATTAATCTTGATTGAAACTATGAAATTTGCATAAAATTGGGTTTAATAACACACTTAAAAACCACAGTCAAAACAATTAATCTCTTAAGTGAAAAAGAGCTAAAGATTTTGGTACTCCTACAACATGATGAAATTTGAATACAAAATATTTGCGGTCTCAATCTCGGTGATTCCGGGTATAGGACACTCATCATTCCGTCGGTGATGAACCCAGGCTAGTGCTAGTTGAGATGGGGATTATTGGGTGCACCCTTTCCTTGCCGCAACATCAACTAATCCGCTCGAATAACGTTTTATTATGCTCTAGGTTTTCAGCTTGGTACCTGGGTTCATACAGCAACCAATTACCACATAATGTTTAAGCATCAAGACTAAAATGACTTTACCAAAATGACAAGTACCGCTAAAAATAAGGGAATCATGATGCATGCATGCCAAGTGCTCAAACGAGAGAGAGAGAGAGAGAGAGGAACAGTCTTGCAAGTACAGTGGCACAGCTGCTGCCTACAAGTTAATTGTGCTACTTACATAAACTGACTAATTTGGATATAAGAATATGCACTTAGCTAAAGAGGGATAATAGAACCTAGCAGTCAATCATGTTGGTTCACTAAGAACACAGAAGAGATCTTTCTGGCGACTCAGTTCCTAGAGGGTTCCAAACCTAGCCTTCCAATATGAGAGCGAGACAAGCAAGCCTGAACCCATCCAATGAAGGAAGAGATGCTTGCTACGATCAATATCCGAACAACACCTTGACTTTGAATCTAGATGACGGTGGGCTGTTAAGCCCCTTGGTTAATTCGGGATTCAAAACGTTGAAAGTTCTGGACTCTAGACTATCTCAAGTTCCAGCAAAAGAATGCTCTTTTCTGGTCATATCTAAATTTCTGCAAAAGCAAACGCATGCAGTGATATTAATTGTATCTGCTCAAGTATAATTCTTAAAAAACATACATGTCTCTTGTTTTCTCAATTTAATGGAAACTATATCAATATGACGTTATTAACCTAATAGAATTCAACTCCTGAACAAAAGTAGATTAAAACTCAAGAAACATACCGTGCCTTCACTGGGGACACGGATGTCAATCCAAAGCTAGAGACCAATAGAATCAACACTAAGGCTATTCAAGCTACCCTCAACAGCAACTCTCAGATATGCAGGGTCACCTCATATCTCTTCTTTTTATCCCCAAAGCTGATAAAATTTCTTGGCCAGTTCAACCTTTTCTCGTACCCCTCCATTCAGAGTCTGCTCCTCACCAATCCAACAAAACCCAATTCAATTCATCATCAGTCCACTTCAATTAAACATAAATCCAAACAAATCCACAAAGCAATTACATATATTCTTGTCCCTTCTCAATGATTGTGCTTTGCTTAGTAAATTCAATATGGGAACAAGATTGAACCAAACCAAAACCAATTCAGTGTATGATCAATACAACAATCCAAACAAAACCCAAAAAGCAATTATATCGACTATTGTCTCTCTAAGTGGTTATTCCTGATTCAGTAACTTAAATACAATAAATGAGCCAAATCCCAATTCAGTTCAACCATCAATTCAACAATCCAAACAAACCTAGAAATCTGTTAATACAAATAAAAAGAAAAACCAAACTCAGACCCTCCTTACCCCTACATAAACGAAGTGATGAAGATTTTTTTTAAAGTATCATCACCTTTTCACTTTTCAGTTCCCTGTATTTGATTTTCAGGTTGTGAAAAGAACTCCTTGGCGTTACACGCTACCTCTGCTTCAACTACTGCTTCCAACACAAGGTCTGATCCTTTAATGTTATCAGTCACCACAACCACTGGTTATTCAATTGGACATCTACATCGAAGATGAAAAGCAGAACTATTTGCAAATTCTCAGGAAAATCTAAGGCGTGTTCAGTTATACAATAAAACAAGTGTAAATATTGCGTGTGCGGGTCAAAGAAAGGCTTATAGAAAGAAAAGTAGCAAGATTTTTCATACTATGCAATCAAGAATTGAATTCAAGGAAATTTTCATGTGTATTCATATGACGTGTTTAAACCAATAGCCCACCGGCACCAAGTGGGGCCTCAACAACACAGATACAACCACCGGCACTTGAAAATCAATTTGATATGGGGAGCCATACACAACTCGTCTAAAACCATGAGCAAACGCCTTTGTTGAATAACCACACAAGGTATAGATAATAAATGACTAGTAAAGACAACCATTGATATAAATCAAGAATATGTGTGCCACGCACAAACTGATGATCTGACCACTATAACTCAAGACAATCTGGGAATACAGACGAGTAAGTCTTTACATAAGAAAATTTAAAGTATGGCCGCAAAATAATGATAGCATCGTTAACTTCTACCTAGTAGACTATTACCCTTGCGATTTGGTATCATCCCAGTGCTTTCAGCTGAAAGTGGGAGAAGAATGAAAAGACCACTTTCATCATTAAGGTTCTATTTCTCTGCACTGCTGTTCGAAGAGTGAATCTTCACAGCATCAGATTTGGCCAAATTTGCATATGCAGTTGCTTGACTATGAAAGTTAGGTGAGTCGGGGGTTCCGAAAGTATTATCCCGTAAAAACACATATACAAGGACTTCAAGCTGATGCAAAGTGGGCCATTTTATAAAAAGAAACTGAATTGTGCATTATTCAAACCTTCATTACGGAATTTATTGACTTCACGTCCTCCTTCGCCTTCTCTAGAGAAATGCCGGCTCCTAACAAGAAAACATATAAAACAATACTCATGAGAGACTCATAACATAACTTGGAAACAATGTATGGGTGCTAAGCATAATACCATTACTCAGGAGGAGTCAGGAATTGAGGATTATCCATCAGCTTTCGAGTCATAGGACCCGGATTCATAAGTGACATACTTCGAACTTCGTAACGAATCGACTCCAGTTGTGCCAATGCATCTTGAAGTTCTTTATGAACCTAATATATTAACTAAACAATTAATCCCTTTTTGTTTTCAGGAATAAATGGTTAAAGTAATTAGAAAAAGTGCCTTACTTGGTGAGCTTGAGACTGCTGCATGGCATTATCGAATTGGCCTCGAGCTAAATGAACGTACCTGATTGATCGACCCGCTAACCTCCCTGCTCCTCTAGCAATTCTAGGAAAATCCCTTGGTCCTGCAACCCATAACACATCAAACCAGGTCACCTTTCGAGAGAGAGAGAGTTTGTGTGCACCGACTAAAGTAGCGGTGGCGCCGATGAGGAGAAAGAGCTCTCCGTACGAAATACCAAACATTTTGCCCCAGTATACTCAATGGAGGAGGAGGAGGAGGTTCTGGTTCGCTGGGAAGAATGGGACTGAGGAACTACTGGGAGTGGGAGGGCAGAGTGGGCGGGGCGGTGAAGTTGCTACAGCAAAAAGGGAGACAAGCGAGCAGCCAGAACAGGTGTGAGACGATAGAGAAAGGTGAGCAAAACGGCGTCGTTTAGGAAGTTTTACTTGAAAAACCAGTTTTATATCTGACCGCATGCTCATTATAGAACGGTGGATATTGATTGGTCTGGAAGAGTTCCGGAGAGAATCTGTATCGCCTTTGCCGTTTATCGCCGAAAGCCACCCATCCACCACACCACTCCCACTCTCTCTCTCTCTCTTCTCTCTCTCTCTTACAAAGAGAGATGCTTGGCTGTCTGGCTGGTGCTCCTGCCGCCACAACACCCAACGCCGCAGCCACCACAACCTCCTGTATTATTCCCAACACCAATCTTCTCCTGCTATCCTCCAGCGCCCAAATACGAACCATTTCCTCCTCATCTTTTTCTTTAACGTTATGAAATTCAGTTTCCCCCGACCACATTTCTCTATTTCTTTTCTTCTGCTATGTGTGTGTGTGTACATTTATTTATCTCATGTGTGTTTGTGGATATATGCAATGTCTCCCTCTTTGTGGGATACAGTATTGCTCAGGCAGGAGCTCATATCTGCTGCACTCAAGTTGCAGAACACTTAAAGTCATGGCAGCGGCTGGGGAGACCCTTACAGTTACAAACCCTGACTCTCAATCCCCTCGCTCCGTCTCCGGTTTGATTATTTTGTTGCGTCGTGCGATTTTTCAGAGGGCTAACTACATTTCACGCCCTTTTGACGGTTGGGGGTGGTATTCAAGATAGGTCGTGAAGTTTCAATTTTTCTTTGGTCGGATTATCATTCATTAAAAATTGATGACATGGTAATCGTGAGACCTTTATGGGGGCAAATGTATTGCACCACTTTGACAAAAAAAACTCATCAATCTAGTTGAGGTTTAGACGTTCAAAGAGACAAAATATATATATTGAACAATTACAAAACCTCATGGTGCAAAATATGAAAAATGTAGTTAGCCATTTTAAAAATTCAAGTTGTGTTTTAAAAGATAATTATGCAATATATTTATCTTATTAAAAAATATACTTCCAAGAGAGAATTTGTGTGAGTTTGATGGTTGTATAAGTGCCTATGTATGCATGTCTGTGCTATATGAATTTGGTTTCTCTTGCTTTCGTTATTTTTCTTCTTTATTTTTTGTGATACATGTGATTAAATCTTTGTTTCAGGTAATAGGCAGGCTCAGATATCATTGTCAGACAAGAAGGATCTTGCTGTCCTAGGGAATGGCCTTCAGAATTTGGGTTAATTTGAGGAACCTACTTTGTTTTATTAAAATCTTGTTACATTTGCCGCAGTTTTTTAAGGATCATTACTTCATAATGTGTCCTTGTTTTCTTATGCAAAAAAATCCTTCAATTAGGGAGCTCTTGTTGTAAATCATTGTCTTTTACCTGTTAGTCAGCTTGAAAATAGTCATGTTATGTATAAGATTTTCACTCTCAATAGTTACATACAAGTCTATATAACATATTTTCAATTTCATTTCAATAGAAAACACTTATCTTCGCTTAAGTGGCTGGCAAGTGCCATATTCCTTTAAATTTGGTTGTTTTCGAAAACTGTAGATATAAAATTGTTTTGACAGGAGGAACGGCATCTGCTTTAGAATGTGCTGGACTGTCAGTCACTAAAGTGGGAGAACTTACTTGTTTCCCTGAGATGGTGTTGACCCTAAAAATTACAAAGCCTACGTGGCGCGCAGGCCGAGTAACTAATAAGCTAACTACGTCCTTCGGTTGAATGCGGGGCGTGCCAACTCGTCGGCCGAGCTCGGCCGAGGAATAAAATTTGTTGATGTCGCGTTGAGTGCGCTGCTGACTTCTTGATCTTACGACAGCGGCCGAGGAAGGAACAAATCTCAACCTTCGGATTCTCGAGCCTGAAGACAAGGCTGCTAGTTTTGCGAAGTTCATGAATCGTTGGCGTCGGATTCGGTCATGGTGATTATATTCGTGAGAGTATAAGCACGTCGAATTGACACCAAACTATATGGACACAAGTATTTAAAGGTAATGTGTGTCATGATGGTAAATATGGTTTGGCCCTCAGAATGCCGAACTCTGAAACTCACTTGGGAGTATCTAATCATAAAACCACTCGGCGTTTAATGCGCCGAATGTTGTAACTCGTAGCACCTTACTTCGCTAAAAAGGCTAATAAGATGACCTCTACCAATAAGGATCTGGAAACCCTTCTCGGCCGAGACTTGGATAGATAACCAATCAGCCTCGACGCAATGCTGTTTATCCAAACTAAAGGTGTTTCGTGGTCAGCTAATTCTACAGCAACAATGCTGTTTATCCAAATTGAAGGTGTTCGCCGGTTGCCTTCACAGTGCTGTTTATCCAAACTGAAGATGTGTCGGCGGAAAAAGAAAATAAAAAAATCTCAAGGTGTTTGAGAGGTTTACGCAGGGCAATTGTGTGTTGAATTGGAGGTCCCTCGATTTTTGCATGATGTTTTGTATTTATAGCACTAAATCCTCCTTGAGATCGAGTCAAAATCATATCTAGATTGGGACTTCTTGTTTTGTTCCAACTGCACTTCGACCAATCCTACCCCTATTATGACTTTGAACTCACCCCCTTTTTGAGGCCATATTCATTGTTGGTCGAGAATCCAAATTGCACTAGGACTTCTTCGACCCCTTTGCTCATCCGAACTACTTCTTCTTGTGATAGGACTCGACCAGCTTTGCTGAATGGCCCGGGACCACCAAGCAGCCCATAGTATATTTGAAACAGCTTTGGGCCGAACATAAACCTACACTCGGCCCAATAATATTATTTTGGGCCCAAATATTGCCCCCTGCTTCTGAGGTCCTTGGCCAAGAATCTTTAGCTGATTTCGACCTTGAAGAAGCGAACTCTATGAGATACCCATGGGATAACGAAAAGCCTCACACGTCTCATCCATTGAGCGTATTTATGAAGTGTGATCACACGACCCAAATTCTCCTGCACGTCTTGCCGCGTGTCACTTCCTTGATTAACCTAGCAGCCCTCAATCATGATCCTTGAAAACATGCGCCAGCCGAAATGTCTCTTCCACATTAATAGATTGATTCCGCCGCAGCACGCAATCGTGCGTCCTTGAACCAGGGAAACCTTGATCCTATCTTTGGAGAGTCCCAAAATATCCAAAATGATTAGGGATTTTCCCGGTCGATTTCGCCCTGAAATTTGAAAATCTAACGCTTTTGAAGATCAAACGTTTGATCTTCCTTTTGAAATGCTTATAAATACTTGAATTTCCTTCAGTCGTATTTTACGCCTTCAGAAACTTTAAACCTCCCTTCGCCATTCCTTCTTTTTCAAAACCAGAACGTCTCAAGCTCACATCTCAAAAACCTTCTTCAGACCCAGACGAATCTTTGAATCTTCATTAATGGCATCCTTCGTTTCTAAGCTCTCTAAGGAATGCAACAAATGCGAGAAGATTATTGATCGATGCTCAATCAAGACCATACGCTTTGAAAGCGATATGAGTACCACTCACCAGATCTTTGGTCCATTTTTCAAAGATGCAGTACCACCATCCATCACTGGACTTTTCAAGGATCAATGCTTAACACCTTTATTGCAAGGGTTTGAATGGTCGAAGTGGGATTTGGCAAGACCCCAAGGTTCCTGGCCTTCGACCACTGCAACCTGGGCAACTTGGGTTGCACGAATGGAGAGGATCTTCGACGAACAATGAAAGGCTCTTGGCATTTATGACACCAGTCGTCTTTCATCCATGGAAATTGTCATGGACAAAGAGCTTCTTATCGCGGCCTCAAGCTTCTGGTGCTCGGCCACCAATACCATGGTCCTCCCTTTCGACCTTGTTGGTCCTACTATTCTCAACTTGACTACCATCTTGGGGACTTCCCTCTTTGGCATACAAATCGACGCCGCCCTCTCTGGGAATCCGTCAAATCTTAACATGAAAGTGCTTTTTGATAAACAGGCCCTCCAAGCGCTGAGTGGAGAAGGTCCATCACCCTCAAAGGAAGAAGTTCAGAAACTACACAAAAACTTCTTCAACTACAACACCCTTTATTTTCACTTTGCCAGCCGAGGAGAAGAAAACCTGCGAGAGGGAGAACACGAGGCCTTCATTTTCTATTGGTACAACAAATTTATATGTTGTACAAGTCCAATAAATGTTTGGTCGAAAATATGCCGGTAGCCGAAGCCCTGGCTAGCAGACATACCCTGGCGTTTAGCCCGGCCATTCTTTCTAATCTCTTGCGCTGCCTGGCCGAGATGACCCTCCACAAGATCGACCCACACCAGAACGGCCCCCTTTGGGTCTTCCAACTTTTTTTGCAGGTCTACTTTGCTCCCCTTCAGCCAAAGATCGCCAATTTCTCGCCCACTGAAGCGCTCGGTCTTCAACTGGCCTCTCGGCCGACATCCCCTCACCAGGCCGAAGAAGTGTTCAAATACTTTTTCAGCCTCGACGTTCTCTCCAATGACAAGTTCTTGATCTGCCGCCGTCGAGAATATCCATCGTCAATCAACCTTTCCATATCTGCATGGAATGCAGATGAAGATGCTGATCTCCGTCAATCCTGGGAATCGTTCATGCTTACCCACAACCTTCCTCTCGGCTGCAATGCTCGTCGAGCAAGCTGGGAAGTATATTGCCCCCACTTCACCGCTCGACAGCTTGGCTACCTCCAGGGCTGCCCGGTACCTCTTCTCTCCTCTCGCTCTCTCCTAAGCCGAGGACGCCTATCTAGTTCTTCAGAGAAGGAATGTACGGATGCCAAGAAGGAGTTTCAGGAACGTTGCCAAAATATCTGCCTTCGACCAACTATTCCAGAAACCCTCAGTACTGACATTTTCGATGATAGGTGGGAGGAGTATACCTAGAAATTTTTTAGCGCTCCAATCGAAGAGGTCATCAACAAGATCTTCAAAGACCGTAGCGACCGACCGAATAGGGCTCCTGCTCTCCAGACCAAAGGGACGACTCAAGGTATATGGCTACCTTTACCTCCTCTTTGTAAACCGTCATTCGAATTTTTATTGACTTGGTTTCACTTTCTCAAGCAGCGAGCACCGAAAATGGTAGAAGCGGTGGCTTCAGCCGTGGCCAAGAAAAAATTGATCCCTTCCTCCAAGACAAGTAAACGAGCTCACCAGGAGACTGAGACGGCAGATGCAACCCCTCATCCTTTAAACGCGTCAACAAATTGGCAAAGAAAGGGGAACAGGAAATCCATGTCATCTCTAGTCAGTCGACAGGAACGACCACTCATAATGTTTCTCCTTCTGTTCCTGCCGTATGCACTTCGACGGTTGTGCAACCATCTCTGATTGGCCAGGTGCCTGAAGCTCGACCCGTCCCTCCAGTCATGATCGAACCAGCAGTTACCCCGCTGGTTGATAAAACGGAAGCTTCGAAGCCGGCCGAGCCAGCCACTGCACCGCCAGTCGAGGAAGCAGCAACTTCGAGGCCGGTCATTGCCCCCATCTTGGAGGATGTGGCTCCATCGGTGAAGAAAACTTTTTCCAAAAATCCAAAACAGTCAGCAATCATCTTGGAAGAGGTATAACTATGTTGCTAGTGATCTTCTTCATTTTATTAGATTTACAAGTCTTAACAACTTTTTATTTCAAGATGATGATGACGACGAAGGTCATGAGATCCCGCTGGTGAGTCGCTCTCGACCAACCAAGCTTCCTTTGGCCAATCTTCCTTTTGTGGTCGAGACGACTGTTCAACCGGATCCTCTTGTGGCTGATCGTGGGAAAAGACCCCTGGTTGAGCTTGAGGCAACGGCGAAAATGCCGCTCCATCCACAAGACCAAAACCTCGACATTCATCCACAAGAAGTTAACTCGGCTTTTGTAAGGCTGGATCCCCTTTCTTCATTAATTTTACTATAACGCGTCTGAACTCAGGAAAATATTAAATGTTAGTGCTCGATCGTTCATTTCACGGACAATTCTATGCGCCGAAGGGCGTTATCTACATTTCGTGGCCATCTCAGTGGCCATCAAACGTAGATAAACTCCATCGGCCGTGTGAATTGAGAAGTAGTGTTAGACATTGGGCTCGGCCATTAAGTTCTCTAGGTTCGAGCAATGAACTAGAGAACATGGCCGAAGTATCCTCTTGGCAGGTTTAGAAACAAATTCCCTCTATTATGCATTCCTTATAATTTTCCTTTTGCTTACAAATTTTCTTTTTCTGTGCAGCCTTCGTGGGAGGTCAAGCTTGACGCCTTAATTGCGACTACATCAGGAGCGACTGGCTCTTCAACAACCGTAATCAAACTTTCCGTGTTAACGGCTGTACTAGATGCCTTCGTCAAGCTGCAGGAACTGCTGTCCCTTTCAGCGTCACAAATTCTTGAGTGCCAGGGCCTCGACTCCGTAGTGGCATATCTGAACGATCTTGCAACTGATGGTCAGTTAAGCAACGAAGCCATTACTCGAGCATTTTCTACTCTGGAATGAACTCGAGAATATTTTGGTATTTTCGAGAGAGCTCTTCGGGTCGAAGACGACTTGAAAGTTGCGATGGTTGTTCAAGAAACTTTGCGTCCACGGGTCGACATGCTGAAGACGAAAAAGGAAGCGCTGGCCGACCTTAATCGTCAAATTACCGAACTTCAAAATCGGAAGTCGGCAGTTGCTTCTGAGCTAGTAAGAGATTTCGAGTTAGGCGGCAAATCCTGCCTGACCGAATATGCATCTAGTGTGCAGCATGTCGAGCAGCTGAAGATGGATAAGAGGAATCAGCAGGCTGAGGTCACGATGGGTGAGGTGAGGTGGTTGGAATTGAAGGCTGTTCTTAAAACTCTCATTCCCTCCTCACCTTAGGGACATTTAGCTATAAACGAATCGACCATCTGTACTTGTATACTCGTTTTTGCGAGCTTATTAATGAAAAAAACTACTCTTGCATCTCCCACGTGACCGGATAATACTTCTTTAAAAATTTCCCATTGATTGGTAATTTGTGAATTAAACCGATCCGGTCTCTAAGATGATATGCCCCCTTGCCGAGAACTTTATGTACGGCGAACGACCCTTCCCAATTCGGTGACCATTTACCGAACCTGGGGTCTTTAATTCCTATGGGCAGCACAGTTTGCCAAACTAATTCTCCCTTGCCAAACGTTTTCTGTCTAACTCGTTGATTATAGATGGATAGGTGTAGAGCATGCTACAAATATTCTTTTTAACCATCGAGGATACCAAATCTTAATAGTCGTTCGAGTTATGGGTTTCGGCCAATAGGAGTCTACCAAAGATCACCAATAATCAATAATCACATGATTAAGAAGATGTGAAAATTAGCTGAGCCATGTGGCCAAGGACTACTGAGAAACCACTGCCGAATAAAAATGCATTGCACTAAAATTCCAATCCTTCAACCCAGCACACCATCTTGTTGCCCCCTTATTTTCTCAAGTATTGGCTAAAAAACCGAATGGTTAAGAAAATAATTTATTCATTATATATATATATTTTAGCAAATGAAAATAAAAGTGGCCGAACCATAAAGTGGAGGAAGCCAACGATGTTTCCGAGCCGAGATCTTTTTACATCAAAATTCTCAAATTGGTTTCGCTCTAGGCCAAGAAAAGAATTTTCTCCAAATATTTTTGACTTAACGGAATATTTTTCATTTTCGGCCGCCGAATGTGTTGGACAATTATTATGCCCCCCAGGCATAATAATTTCGCCAATTTCGGCTTTTAACCCGAACAACTGAGCCAAACGAGATTGCTCCATATCTGCTTTATCACCAATAATCATATCGATTGGCGTGGTTTGTTCAACTGAAACCATGAATTGGTCTTGTTCTTCATTGGAACACTTTTCTGACGAATTATTTTCTGAGTCAATTTTTGGCTCAGAAACTTGAACATTTTCTTCTAGGCCTACCACACTTTCAGCCTCGATCGAAAAAATAGGTGGCCTAGGTCTTGGCCCACCATATTTTCAGTCTCGATCGAAAAAATAGGTAGCCTTTGTTCTTCTGCCAAAATAACAATTTTCTTAGGCCGATGTCTGATTATGGCCGGAGCGAAAAACTGCCCCTGGTCTTTTCAACCTACCATTCTTCAAATGGAATCAATTTGTAGTTGAAAACGTAAGGAAAATATTTTCCATCTAGCCAGGTATTAAATTGAGCCTTGTCTTCGTTTACCCATTGCTCTTGCAGGGTAACAGGACCTTTTATTCTCAACATGTAAGCGAATGACTTTTGCATCTCTGTATGGCCATGAAGAATTTTTTCCACTTCCAAAGATCTTTTTTGTTCCTCATTGTGTTTTTTCAATTTCTCTAGGAGCTCGTATAATTGGCTACGTGGAGCCAAATTGGAATCTTGATATATCATATGAATTTCGTAGTTTTAGCACTGGGTCCCAATGGGCATGCCAAAATGTTGACCCTAAAAATTACAAAGCCTACGTGGCGCGCAGGCCGAGTAACTAATAAGCTAACTACGTCATTCGGTTGAATGTGGGGCTTGCCAACTCGTCGGCCGAACTTGACCGAGTAAAATTTGTTGATGTTGCATTGAGTGCATTGCTGACTTCTTGATCTTGCGATTGCGGCCGAGGAAGGAACAAATCTCGGCCTTTGGATTCTCGAGCCTGAAGACAAGGCTGCTAGTTCTGCGAAATTCACGAATCGTCGGCGTCGGATTCGGTCACGGTGATTATATTCGTGAAAGTATAAGCATGTCGAATCGACACCAAACTATATAGACACAAGTATTCAAAGGTAATGTGTGTCTTGATGGTAAATGTGGTTCGACCCTCAGAATGCCGAACTCTAAAACTCACTTAGGAGTATCCAATCATAAAACCACTCGGCGTTTAATGCGCCGAATGTCGTAACTCGTAACACCTTACTTCGCAAAAAGGTTAATAAGATGACCTCTGCCAATAAGGATCCGGAAACCCTTATCGACCAAGACTTGGATAGATAACCAGTCGGCTTCGATGCAGTGCCGTTTATCCAAACTAAAGGTGCTTCGCGGTCGGCTGATTCTACGGCAACAATGCTGTTTATCCAAACTGAAGGTGTTCGTCTGTTGCCTTCACAGTGTTGTTTATCCAAACTGAAGATGTGTCAGTGGAAAAAGAAAATAAAAAAAATCTCAAGGTGTTTGAGAGGTTTGCGCAGGGCAATTGTGTGTTGAATTGGAGGTCCCTCAATTGTTGCATGATGTCTTGTATTTATAGCACCAAATCCTCCTTGAGATCAAGTCAAAATCATATCTGGATTGGGACTTCTTGTTCTGTTCCAACTCCACTTCGACCAATCCTACCCCTATTAGGACTTCGAACTCACCCCCTTTTTGAGGCCATATTCATTGTTGGTCGAGAATCCAAATTGCACTAGGACTTCTTCGACCCCTTTGCTCATCCGAACTACTTCTTCTTGTGATAGGACTCAACCATCCTTGCTGAATGGTCTGGGACCACCAGGAAGCCCATAGTATATTTGAAATAGCTTTGGGCCGAACATAAACTTACACTTGGCCCAATAATATTATTTTGGGCCCAAACAGATGGTAAGCAAGCTATTTTTCTCTGAAAATTACGTATCTCATCCAGCACTTTATGAAATATTTAATGTTGGGCATATTAACTCTGTTATGCAGATTATAACATGACTAAGATTTGTGTTGCATCTTGATGGTTGTGTAAAAACTTTACACCCTAACGTACATGGGTGTATTCTTGCTAGAAGAGACGAAACGCATCACATGGAAGCTCTTAGTAAACATGGAATTGGTGAGTTCTGCTGTGAATTCTTTTACCATGCTTGCACGACACACACACACACACACTCTCTCTCTCTCTCATTCTCTCTTTGTGAGAATATATTGTAACAATAATAATTGACTTCAAAATATTTGTACAGGTACAATTGATGTGGTTGTGGTGAATTTATACCCCTTTTACGACAAAGTTACTTCAACGGGAGGAATAGATTTTGAAGACGGAATTGAGAATATAGATATTGGTGGTCCTGCCATGATAAGAGCAGCTGCAAAGGTTGTTTATCTGAATGGAAATGGTAGCATATTGTTGTTCTATAATTTTATAAATCATAATAGGTTTTGCTTTTCAGAATCATTGTCATGAACCAAATATTCTCATTGAACTTGTTATTTCGTAATTCTCTCGTTTTATTTATCCAAGTGAATCTCATTTAGTAGATATCTAGATATGAACTCTGTGCTGCATCATTGGTGCTAGTATTCAATCCAACACCATCTGCAGAAATCTTGATACATATTGATCCGAGAAACAATGGAACATATCGATTCTGCTTTTGGCCTAACAGGGAATGTGACATACATTTTTAACACGATCCTTATATTACTGCTTATTTTTGTCCAATGTTGGGACATCTTTTTTTTTATTGTTCAATATATCGCCCATAATCTGCTTTCTCAAACACAACCCTTGTATCACTAGTAGTACCTAAATTTGTCTCAATATCTTTATCAGATGCTCCAAGTTAAATATGTTTGTCAAACAGAATCACAAAGATGTCTTGGTGGTGGTTGATTCAGAAGACTATCCTGCACTTCTAGAATTTCTTAAGGGAGACAAGGAAGCTTGCATGGAAGGCTTTCCAGCATGTTGCTTCTTATGATTCTGCAGTTTCAGAATGGCTTTGGAAGCAGACTTCTGAAGGTATTACGTCTTTGATGGTCTTGTTTTTAGTTATAAATTTACTTTGATAAGACAAGGATTATAGCTTTACTTTTATTTATATATTTGTGAATTTAATATCTAAGTAGACATTAGAGTCAGAATTAACATGCCAAATCGTCAAGTAGGCTGCAATTTATTGAGCAAACAATTTTAGATTCATAAAAATGAATTAGGAGTAAGCGGAAAATGACCTTTAAGAGAGAAGAGGGAGTTTCATCAAGAAGATTGTAATAATGCACCATTTTGATGTTCATGATATAGCGCGAGGAATTACCTTCGGGGATGGAGAGAGAGAGGGAGGGGGTACAAAGACCATGGGGACGAGTGAGTTTTTTTTTTTTTTTTTTTGGGGGGGGGGGGGGGGACCCCATAGACAGTACATTCTATGAAATTGTACTTAAACTAATTTTCTTGTGTCACCCTTTTGTGATGGGATGCGTAGATTGACAAACTTCTTTTACTTACTTTTTTTTTTTTCTGTTTTTGCAAGAGAAATTCCTTCAGAGCTTAACGGTGCCTATGTTGCTCAAAAGTCCCCTTCATTATGGTGAAAATCCTCATCAGAAGGCTGCAACATTCTACGTTGACAAGAGTCTTTCTGAGGTGAATGCTGGTGGTATTGCAACTGCTATCTGACACCATGGGAAGGTAAGATAGACATCTTCCTTCAGCTATTGGACTCCACTTAAAGTAAGGAATTGATAGTGATGACCATGCATCCTTATTTTTCTGAATCTTTAGTGGCATTTAGGTTGATAAGGAAACCTTGATACTTTTTTATTTGAAAGTATCGATCAAGATTGGAATATACACCCACTAAGAGACTCTAAGAAAAGACTTGGACTACTTGGATCTAACGGAAGACATGGCACAAACCAAGCGCAGTGGCGTTTTAGGATTCATATAGCTGACCCTACTTAGTGGGATGAGGCTTTGTTGTTGTTGTTGTTGTTGTGGACATGCAAATCATTGGAAGTAGCATGTTGTTGAAAGGAGTGAGTTCATTAACATATTTGCTTTCCAATATTAATTTTTGACAGCAGCATGGTAGCACCATGTTTGGGGTTCTCTGATATTCTGATTGCTAATTGGTGGGAGGCAAAATATTTGAATTGTTGGGCTCTGTTTTGAATGTTTACAAATTAACCAGATCTCATCGGCTTTAAACCTTTTAGTTTCTGCATGCAGGAAATGTCATATAATAACTATTTAGATGCCGATGCGGCTTGGAATTGTGTGTCAGAGTTTCAAAGTCCTACCTGTGTAGTTGTAAAGCATACAAATCCTTGTGGACACAGCTTCACGTGATGATATTCTTGAAGCATACAGGCTTGCTGTCAAAACAGATCCCGTGAGTGCTTTTGGTGGCATTGAAGCGTTCAACATCGAGGTTGATGAGGTGAGTTGGAGTTTTGGGATCCGACCTGAATTTATGATATGAAATGAGATTGTGATTACCATGCACTTCCCAAAATGTTGTTCGCTGTTGAAGTGCACTCAAGTTCTGGCACCGTGGTGAACTTGAATACCAACTGATTTATTCTGAAAGGCTAGCCTTCAGAAGTTTAACTTGGTAATATATGTGCCTGTTTTGCAGTTTCTCCGTTTCCTAAATAACTCATTTTTTTTTTTTTGTGTTTCTAGGCTCTTGCTAAGGAAATCCAAGAGTTTAGAAGCCCGACAGATGGTGAAGCTCGGATGTTTTACGAGATTGTGGTTGCACCCAAGTACACAAAGAAGGGGCTTGAAATCCTCCACGGAAAATCAAAGACTCTAAGGATCCTTGAGGCAGGGAAAAATGAGAAGGGAAAGCTTTCACCTAGACAGGTTGGTGGTGGGTGGTTAGCCCAGGACTCGGATGATTTGACCCCCCAAGATATACAGTTCAAAGCTGTTTCTGAGAAGGCTCCACAAGAAAGTGAGCTTGCTGATGCAGAGTTCGCATGGTTGTGCATCAAGCATATTAAAAGCAATGCAATTGTTATAACAAAGGTTGTCGTTCTTTGTTTTACCCCGCGCCCTCACATTTAATATAGTTTCGGTAGGCTATTTTGAGGGTTTGCACTTTCGGAGAAATATCTGATCCTTGACTTATGAGCAGAATAACTGCATGCTGGGCATGGGGAGTGGGCAGCCTAACCGCCTGGAGAGTTTAAGAATAGCCTTGAAGAAAGCTGGAGAAGAGGTCAAGGGTGCAGCTTTGGCCAGTGATGGCTTCTTCCCATTCGGTAATTACAAGATCATGCATCAACTTTTATTTATGTTATTTAACAGTGGAGTGCAAGACCAAGTTCAACGAGATCAGTTTCTTCTTATGCTAAACTGAAAATACATGGAAGTATCTCTATAATAATCTGAATGAGGCTCGTTTTACAAGCAGCGTGGAAAGATGCAGTGGAAGAAGCCTGCCAAAGCGGAGTTGGTGTAATCACAGAACCCGGTAGGAGCATTAGAGATGGGGATGCTATAGACTGCTGTAACAAGTATGGAGTTTCACTTCTTTTCACAAACGTGAGGCATTTCAGGCATTGACAACGTTTTTGTCCTTGGTGCTTCGATACAAGGACCTTAGGTCTCGATCCGTTGTTTTCATAAGAAGATAACTAGGTTCTCTCACGGAGAAGTTCCTGTAGACATGCTTGTTTGACATCAAGGCAAATCATAATTTTTTTCGTAATCTGAATGCGGATTTGAGGTACCATACGTTAATAACTTTGCTTCTTGTATATTGTTGATCTTTCTTGTTTTGTTGTTGTGCAAGTTGTTTTTCCTACTAGTGACTATTTGATGGAAATTGGGTAGTAGATAGGATTAGGAAACCGATGTCGTTTAGAATATCAATCACAATATGGTGTGAGGATATGAATCAGAGAGTGAGAACAATTGTACGTTGACATTGAATTGCTCTGATAAGAAAGGGATTTGGTGAATATATAGAGATGAAATAACCTTTTTGGAGGAGTTGTATTCTTTAGGGGAAGTCACCCGTTGAATACAACTGTACTTTCACACATGATTATGCATATTGTGCAAACCATGTTATCATAATCACATTCCAACACTATTTAGCTGGGTCGTGCTTGGTTTGGGTGAGCGAATTTCTTTGTTCACATCCCTTTTACATGCATAAGTAAAGGTGGGAAGAAAAACATAAAACTACCCTATCTGATGTGAGGTTTTTAGGTGATTGGGAGAGCAATTTATCTTATTAAGCAACACAGGAAGTTGGGAACCGGTTTTTGGTTTATTGAAAGGAGAGTTTGGAATTCTAGAAGCCTTTTTTCGAAGGCTGAAAAAACTTTTCCCCTCTTTTCAAATATTCTATATTTTGCCTTTTTTTGCACTGAAGAAACTCAATTGGATTCAAATCCGAAGTTACCCAAGAAGACCCCCTCAAGAACCAAAAAAAAAAAAAAAAAAAAAAAAACCAAACAAAATTGATTACTCAAATTGATCGGAGAGTACAATAAATGAGATTCACTCAATCCATTCATCATACTTGTGAACTTCTTCCATAACCCTCTCAATAAGTGGCAAAACAATGTTTCATTTGGCTGATTTTTGTAGGAATGATTCGTGAAATAGAACTTTAAAAATCAATGGTCCCGATCATTACACGTCAAGCCAAAAAATTAAAAATAAAAGAATATATATGTATATTTACATATCATACCATAGAAGCTCCAAAGCGCAATTTCAATTGCAAAAAATTCTGACAGTATCTCTCGACAGCTCTCCAAAACAAACCAAAAGCACAAAATAAAATTAGTAATACTACAACAAAGTATTGTGCACTCTTACATATTGCTCGAATCGCAAAATTAAGAGTTTGTTTGATGACTTTGGTACTTTTTACACATTCACATCATCTCTTTATCCATCCCTTCTCTCCTATGTATTTCCGTCAACCTCAAAGAGAAATAAAACCCAAACTAAGAGGGAAAAGTTTTCCAAATTACTAGAGAGCACATGGTAACACGTGCCCAATACACTCTAGGTTTTTTATTAACACTAGAGGGAGAGAGAGTTCGGCTAAGCTACTGAATGGGCAGCATAATTTGTTATCAAATTCGCCTTCCACGAGATTCGAACCGAAGACTTCTCATTTCTAAGCGAAGAGGGATACTATAAAATCGTAGTACTAAATGGCTTACACTCTAGTAGTTGTTATGATGAAATTTGAGGATTCATCTAAAATCAATTAGCAATAAGAGGAGACTTCTTATATGTCCTTGCGAGGATTCTTAACAATTCTGGTAAATAGGTCGTATTTGTATCGTTTTCGTGTCATACTCGTTATCTTAACGGTCTTAATCTTGTATAACGGTATTTACTTGGATTAATTTAGGGAATCTGTTGGTCTTTTTAAATGAATTCTTTTTAGATATTTTATACAACCATTTTATACATCAAGGTCTAAAAGATTAGGGTTGAGCTATCATAGACATGTAACAATAATTTAATGTCAAACTCGCCCTTCATATAAGTCAATCCTAAACCTCTCATTTACAAAAAAAGAATACCACTAGACTAGACTTGTTAATGGATCAGATTTTGATCCGGATTTGATCCAAATTCGATATGGATGGATCGAGATTTTCAACCCAAGTATTCTTCACAAGATCCGAATCGGATAATCTGATTACAAATAAATTTGATTATATGTGGATCATGACAAATATTGTTTTGAATTAGAAAAATGAACTTGGATTATCTACCCTGCTTGACTATACTTGACTACTCAAGAAAATAAAATTGCCATGATGATAACACATATGCAGACCTGTAAACGAATCGAATTCAAACTAGATCAACCTTGATTGATATCCAAATCCGATTTTCATAGTTATCTGACTTGTAGATCCATTTTCGATAATCATCAGATTAAGATCGAACCAATCCTTATTAGATCTATTTCAAGACCTGGGAAAACATGAATTTATCATTAGTAACTTTGTTCTTTTATTATACTGAACTATTTTCAGTTAGAAATTTTCATATTGCCCTAATAAGAAAATAGGGTATAAGTTTATTTTCAAAATAATATGAAAATTAAATAAGATGTTTCGGATAATCGTATTAAAAGTCTCGACAATTACATCAAATTCGAATAGGATCCGAATCAACATCCAGTCTACACATATGTAATATAGCATTGATCCAACGAGGAATGCTTGGAATGCTGATTCCAATGGGGGGTCCAAAATCTATCTCCATATACATTTGCTTCACCTTCTTCATATATCTTTTCCATCTATCTCTAACAGAAAAATGGAAAATGAAAACTAATTATAATGAGAATGTACAAGTGATGCTCACCTAAGGACCACTTTTTAAGGTGCTGTGAAAGAAAAACTGATTGCAAACCATTAGATTAATCTAACGGTTGAAATTCTCAAGGATTTATTCTTAAGGCAACTTAGTACTATGGTTTAGTCCTATTCTTTTTACTTATAAGTGAGGAGTCTTAGGTTCAATTCTCGTCAAATGCGAAATTGAACTACATTATTGCTAGCTCATTATGAGGCTTGGCTCATTCTCTCAGCCTTTAGTGTAAATAATATCGTTTGTTCGGAAAAAAAAAAATAGCAACAAAATATTCATGCAGAAGAAAAAACAAACCCAAAATTTGCTGAAACTACTATCTCACTTCCTTGGAGAGCCATAGCCAGATCTGAAAGCATAAAAGGGAGTTTTAATGAAAAGCCCACGGTACTGTTCACTTTAACAAAAAATCACATTTTTACACTAAAAAGTCAATCCTGGTACTATTCACTTTACCCTGTATTTTGTCCTTATCATTAAAACTCAAAGTTTTCAAGCTCTTTTCATTAGTTTTCCTTTACAGAAATGGCTAGATAAAGAAAATGAGTGTTAAATGTTGAGCCATTTGTTTATTGAAGGAGTAAAAGTGAAACCAAAGCTTTACTTTTTTCAGTAAATAAATCATGGTTTTATAACTTAGGGTAAATTGCACTTTACCACCTTAGGTTTGAGGTTATTGTAACCTTATACAACATCTTCAAAACATTTCACTTTCATACCTCAAGTACTATTTTATTTCAATATAATACATCCGTTACATTTTCCTTCCATTGATCCGTTAAGAGTTGACGTGACTGCCACATTTGTGCTGATGTGGTTGCCAAATTTGTGCCATGTGGCAATTAATTTTTTTTTTTTATGAATTTAAAATATAATAATTTACTCTATTAAAAAAAGAAAAGAAAAGAAACTTGAAACCCATTCCCCTTCCCCGCAACCCCCCAACACCCCAACCCAAGCCCTAAATCCCATGTCTTCTCTGATCCACTCTTCGCTCTTCACCTCCTCGAGCCACTTCACCCTCTCCTCCACTCTCTTCACCTCTCCTCCCTTCTCTCTCCCCAGATCAACCTGCACCCAACCCTAATAAAAAAAGTAAAAGAGGTTACATTTATTGAAATCTCTTTTGGAAATTTTCTGGGATGTTCCTAACATAAGAACAATTGCTTTTTCTGGGTTTATGGGTTCATGTTCATCTTTGGCTAGTGAACAACGAAAGTTTTCTCGCTGGCGACTTCAGATCCAAAAACCGCGAAGGTCGTGTTCATCTCAGGTTGTAGAAGAAAAACATGGGGCTGGAGCAAAGTCGTTGATTTCGGGGCTTCGTGGGGCTTTAATGTGTTGTTGAACTCGGGGATTGTTGAAGATCGAGGCTTCATGGTGGCTATAGTGTGTTGTCGAAGGTGAAGGCAGAGAGGATCCGGGGGTTGATGGACGGGGTTGGTGACAGAAGAAGGTGTAGCTCGGGTGGGGAAGGCGAAGTGGGTCAGGGAGGTGAAGAGGGAAGAGTGGATCAGAGAAGACATGAGATTTAGGGTTTGGGTTGGGGGGTTGCGGGGAAGGGGAATGGGTTTCCAGTTTTTTTTTTAATTATTATTTTTTATTTTTATAAATAGAGTAAATTATTATATTTTAAATTCATAAATGTTTTTTTTTGTCACGTGGCACAAATTTGACAGCCACGCCAGCTCTTAACGGATCAATGGATGGAAAATGTAACAGATGTATTATATTGAAATAAAATAGTATTTGATGTATGAAAGTGAAATGTCTTGAAGATGTTGTATGAGATTGTAATAGACCTCAAACCTGAAGTGGTAAAGTGTAATTTACCCTTTACTTAACTTGATTAATATTGTTCAAAATCAGATTGGATTCCTTGGAGGACCTAGATGCTTTCTTGGAATGATTGAATCTTTGAACATCTTGGGGTCGTCTAATCAAAGTTTCAATACATTATTTGGGTTTTTATACTTTAATTTTTAGAGTTTCATGGTTTAGTCCTCCCGATTGTTTGTAAAATCTGTCCAAACAAAGAAAAAGTTTCTCAACCCACTTGAACACTGTAATCTTGTTATTCCTCTTTCGAAGATGACCTCCCGATTGTTTTCACCGAAATACTACTTAACCGAAACTTTTTTTCTAATTAATTGTAATTGGAAAATTTTCTTTTCTTTCAGTTGACTGGTATTTCGGTGAAAACAGTTATTCTTTAGTTTTCTGCTGTTGGAAGTTTACTTCATGAAAGAAGGCTCTTGTGAATTGATAAATTAATGGGGATACGTACGGTTCTATCTTATATGCTTCATCAATAAATATATGCATATAATTGATAAATAAGAATGTGCATATAAAGATGCACAGTTACCTGCCCTTAGCCCTCTATCTAATTTGGTGTGCC